AGTATATCAAGCATCGGAGTTATCCAGAAAAAACCACTGAAATCGAGAAGAGAACCCTTAGAAGGTTGGCAGCTGGATATGTCCTTGACAGAGAGGTTTTATACAAGAAAAGCCATAACCAAGTTCTGTTAAGGTGCGTCGATGCTGAAGAGGCAAAAATGATAGTGGAAGAAGTACATGATGGAGTTTGTGGAGCACATGCAAATGGGCATATGATGTCAAGACAAATAATGAGATGCAGATATTTTTGGTCCACACTGGAAAGTGATTGCATCAACTATGCTAGGAGATGTCATAAATGTCAGATTTATGGAGACAAGATAAATGTTCCGCCCCATCCGCTTCATGTAATGACGTCACCATGGCCTTTCTCTGTGTGGGGCATGGACGTTATCGGGCAAATCCATCCGAAGGCTTCGAATGGTCACCGTTTCATTCTCGTAGCAATTGACTATTTCACGAAATGGGTAGAGGCTGCGTTATATGCCAGTGTCACTCAATCCACTATTTGCAAGTTTCTGAAGAAAGAAATTATATGTCGGTATGGTCTACCTGAAAGGATTATCACCGATATCGCAACAAACTTGAACAACAAGATGATGAGTGCTGCCTGCGAACAGTTCAACATAAAACATCACAATTCCACTGCTTACAGACCAAAGATGAACGGAGCAGTAGAAGCAGCAAACAAAATATTAAGAAGATAGTGGAAAAAACAACTGAAACTTACAAAGACTGGCATGAGAAGTTGCCTTTGCTTTGTTCGCTTATCGAACCTCGGTACGAACTTCGACTGGGGCAACTCCATTTTCACTAGCCTATGGAATGGAAGCAGTGCTACCCATTGAAGTCGAGATTCCGTCTCTCAGGGTCTTGTCAGAAGTCAAACTGGATGATGCAGAGTGGGCACAATCCAGATGTGATCAGCTTAATCTGATAGATGAAAAAAGATTGAAAGCCATTCATCATGGTCAAATCTATCAGAAACGAATGATCCGAGCACATGAAAAAAAGGTGCGCCCGAGAATATTCCGTGAAGGGGATCTAGTGCTAAAAAGAATTTGGCCAGTCCAGAAAGATTTCCGAGGAAAATGGACGCCAAATTGGGAAGGACCTTATGTCGTGAAGAAGGCTTTCTCCGGAGGAGCCCTTATCCTGGCTGGAATGGACGGACCTGAGCTGCCACATCCCATTAACTCGGACGCAGTCAAGAAATACTTCGCTTAGGATGAAAACCCGAGAGGGCGTCCTAAGTTGAAAAAAAAACAAAAAAAACAAAAAAACAACAAAAAAACAAAAAAAACAAAAAGAGAAGAACGTTTAGGGTGAAAACCCGAAAGGGCGCCCTAAATTGAAAAAAGAAAAAGAGGAAAAAAATAAGAGAAAATAAGGTGGGTTCAAGATGAAAACCCGCAAAGGGCGTCTTGCAACCAAGGATGGGTCCAAGTTGAAAACCCGGAAAGGGCGATTTGGATATTAACGGTGGAAACATCCCGGCACATGAATCTTCTACGAACTCAACAAATCGGAGAAATGTTGCACCCTCCCAAACGTTGTCGCATTTTCAAAGATCCTTTGGCAAAGGCTGCATTCAAAGTCACCAAACGGCTTTTCAGCTCAGAAGTGCCCACGTTATCGGGATCTAAGACATTCATTTACACATCATTGTGTATTCGTCTTCTAGAATGTTTGCCATGTATTATTTGTTCTTCTCCTCCCTTATGAATAAAGACCATCTTTCCTCCAATTCCTTTCGAGCATCTTGAATTAGATTTAAACCTAATGGTTTATTTATTTTTTATGAAAGATAATCGCATATTACTATACAAAGATTCATTGAAAAGTACAGGTACCCAGAAGCCGGTCAAGGCTCATGCACATGCTTGAGATGGTTGAGGAGCATCTCCAAAAAAAAAACCCAGAATGTGCACATCAGATTCAGACATTTGAAGAATTCAAGATCAGAGATCGGAACTTCAAGCTTTCAAAATCAAGAGTCAACAACGACAGGCCACCGGAAATCAAGATTTCTCTCCAGAGCCCAGAATAACATATGTTGCCCATACATTTTTAGGCATACCTAAGAGCATGACATCCATACCATCGCATATATGCACATCTTTGCAGGTTTTACCCAAAGCCAATTTCAACTTCACAACGAAGGATATTGGACTCCAGACAACGCAAGTTCAACTTCACGACGAAGGGACCGCTGGTTGTCAACAAACATTTCTCAATTCCAGAGTCAATTTCAACTTCACAACGAAGGATATTGGACTCCAGACAACGCAAGTTCAACTTCACGACGAAGGGACCGCTGGTTGTCAACAAACATTTCTCAATTCCAGAGTCAATTTCAACTTCACAACGAAGGATATTGGACTCCAGACAACGCAAGTTCAACTTCACGACGAAGGGACCGCTGGTTGTCAACAAACGTTTCTCAATTTCAGAGCCAATTTCAACTTCACAACGAAGGATATTGGACTCCAGACAACGCAAGTTCAACTTCACGACGAAGGGACCGCTGGTTGTCAACAAACGTTTCTCAATTTCAGAGCCAATTTCAACTTCACAACGAAGGATATTGGACTCCAGACAACGCAAGTTCAACTTCACGACGAAGGGACCGCTGGTTGTCAACAAACATTTCTCAATTTCAGAGCCAATTTCAACTTCACAACGAAGGATATTGGACTCGAGACAGTATAAGTTCAACTTCACGACGAAGGGGCCGCTGACTGTCAACCGACGATTTCCCAGTTCCAGAACCAATTTCAACTTCACAGCGGAGGATATTGGACTCGGAACAATATTTGGATTTCAATTTCATGGCGAAGGATATCCAATTCTCAGGCTCAACTTCCCGACGAAGGGGCCCTGTACGATTCCAATTTCACAAACAGATTGACCCAACTTCACGACGAATGAGTCATCTGTAACGCATCAACACCAAAGTCTTCAGGTCAAGTTTCACCTTCACGACGAAGTATCTTGAGCCAGAAGACAATTCAGGAGCCACTTGCTAAAAGCTTTGAGTTCGATTTCAACTTCACGACGAGGGATATCGTGCTCAGAAGTTTCCAGTTCAACTAAACCTCACGACGAGGGAGTCATTTTGTGATTTAAACCAGTTTCAATATTGAATTTTAACTCTACGACAGAGAGTATTCGATACGGCCGAAATTTGCGTCTCTTAATCTTTGCTCTATTTTCGTTACACAACAATGAACAAAGAGGGGCAGCTGTAGACGTTTGATTTCGACCATATCATATAATGAATATATTATATAATAATATATATATTTATACTTTCCTTTTTATTTTACAGAACCAAATAAGTATACAACGACCCACTTGTGTTCAATCCAGTAACAAACCCTAAGGCCGATTAGGGTTCCTGATGTCTTAGCAGCTTTCCATCTCACCCTAGCATCGCATGGTCAGCAGTCCACGTCCAGGAATCCCACGATCGAATCCCTCGGTCAATAACCATCACCAATGTCCGAGTTTCACGGTCACACGCAATGATCCCGAAACGTCCGACAACACCAACAACCCACGAAGGCAACCAAGTTAGAATAGGACTCAAATGCTTAGCAAATCCTAGGCTATAAATAACGCATGTAATCAACACAGAAAGGGGGATTTTTTTTTCTTTACACACAGACACACATAAATACACACGATATACTACGAGAGATCAGGGGAGATACAACAGATTCGAAGTTTTACTTTGTAACCAGTTCAAAAAGAAATAAAGGTAGCATTTTTTTTTACCTTTTTTGTTGATCTTTCGCCTTTGCATGTTAGTATTCCTCTATGATTTGTTCAAAAACAAAAGAAAATGTTTTTTTGGCCGATGAACCAAGGCGCTTTTGAGATCTGTTTTCATAGATCTAGCCTCCAAGGCCGATTTTTCTTGGGAAACTATTATGATTTTCGAAACAAGGGCTCAAGGATCTTTCAAAAAAAAATAAAGGTTTTTTTTTCTCATTTTCGCCACCGATGAAGGCGGCCGGCGCCGTTCACAGTGGCCTGCGAGGCGGAACGCGGTGGCCGGATACTGGGTTCTTGAAGAACCACAGGGGCCTGTTCTTGAATCTCAAGAACGAACCAGAGAAAAGGGAGAGAAGAAGGAGGGGCGTTTGATGAAGAGAAGGGAAATGAAAGCTTTTAAATTTTTTTTTTGAGTTAAATAATACCCATACATACGCCAGAATCCATGTGATTTGCTTTAAAATAGGGTAAACTTCCTTTTTGGTCCCTCGTCGATTTCAAGGAGCATTTAAACCCCTAATTTCCTTTTAATTTGGCCACTTGATTTATTTCCATTTTCAATTAACCCCCTGTTGAAATCAATTACTTTAATTCTATTTATTTATTTACTTTTTATTATTTAATTACGTTATATTATATATTCTGTTATTATTATTATTATGGTATTATATATATATTTCATTCTTATTATCGTTTTTTTCATTTACTTCCTATTACTTATTATTTTTTAATATCATTTTTTATTATTATTATCATTCTTATTTATCATTTATTTATTTATTTATTATTTTATTTTATTTTATTTCTTTTTTTTTGGTTAAATTTATTTATTTATTTTCTTTATTTTTTATATCTAACATGTTTCTCAACTCTTTAAGGGTACATTTTCAATCGAACATAGGTAAGTTTTGGATCGTTATTTTTACCTTTTAATTTAAAATTACAATGTTCTTAATTAAGACAACTGGAAATTACGTAGTACCGAAAGGGCGGTTCAAGGGTGCTAATCCTTCCTTGACCGTAACCGACTCCCGAGCCCGACATATTTTTGGAAAGACGCAGATCAGGTAAGAAATAAGGTATCCGATCAACCCATTTATTTTTAAATAAATGATCGGTGGCGACTCCCTAATCAATTAATCAAGTCGAAGCCCAATTCCGGGGCCCAAACCGAAAGACGGTTGCGACAATGGGAAAAAGGAAAAAGAAAGATAAACAACCTGAAGTGAGGAATAGTTTCCAACACGAAGGATTCTACCGTCACGAATGGCCATGGAATCGGCAAAAGGAAAAGAAGGGTCGCTGGTGAAAATGACCCCTTTTTTAACTATCAAATCAGCACCTAGTTTAGTCGATGGAATCAGAGAAGCTCTCCATTGCAGCCAATCTGCGGGAAAAAAAGAAGGTTATGCATCAGGATTTTAAGGAGTAACCCGTTGATGAATGGTAAAAAAGGAAGTGGGAAATGAGAAGAATCACAAAAAAGAAGGGAAAAAGGTTGGGTTTTTAGTTACAATTGGAGCTTGGCAGAGGGAAGAAGACGATGGAAAGGAGAATGGCAATCGAAGCTGAAATGACAATGGGAAGATTCATGCTTCTTCTTTGTTTTTCACCGGTTTTTGCTCTGTTTGGTGATGTCATTTAAATATGGGCGTACAGATAGATAACACGTTTACCGTTTGTTGCTTGCATGGGAGTTGGGAGGTGGAAGAAAATGGCAATATTACCCTTTTAGTTGACTTTTTCCAACCCAAGTTTTATATGGGCAGGCTATCAATTTTTTAGGGTAAACTACATGTTTAGTACCTAAACTATCACTTTTATTCCGTTTTAGTACCTAAATTTTCAACTTTTTCAAAACCATACCTAATGTTTACTTTTTGTTTTATTTTAGTACCCGTCGTTAACGTTTTGTTTCATTTTAATACCCCGCTGTTACTTTTTTTGTTTCATTTTAGTACCTAAATTTTTAACGGCGGGGTACTAAAATAAAACAAAAAGTAAACGTTAGGTATGATTTTGAAAAAATTGAAAGTTTAGGTACTAAAATAGAACAAAAGTGATAATTTTAGTACTGTATAAAATATATTTTTTATTAATAATTCTTAATTCAAATATAAATCAAATTCATGAAATAATATTGTTTTTTTTATTTTTGTTTTGTTTTAATTTAATTTTCCCAAAATAAAAAGGAATAATTATAAGAATAATCCCTTAATAACGCCACTAATGTTATGATTCCATTTTACAAGCCATACCATCCATTAAGCATAGTTTAGTAAGAAACTTTGTGCTAATTAAGCAAGGTCTCGGTTTCGAATCTCGTAAATAGAGAAGACAGATTATTCGAACCGATTCTGAAATAATTGAGACGTGACATGGCTTAAGATCATATCTAGATATGTCGAACAAAGGTATAGGACACAGAGACTTCGAGAAATCAAATAGTCTAATGGTAATGTTTGGGTTAAAAGAGGGTAGCTCATACAGGGATCTATGTGTTGGAAAAGTATTGGACAATGATATTGCATGGGACATGAAGCAAAATGGCAAAACTTATGACAGTTATGGCATCACATGAATCTAGTTGGGATCTAAAATAACATCATTAGCTTCTCATGAGACATAGGATAAAAAGAATAGCAAAAGAGAAAGGTTTTAATAAATCAAACAATTAGCAATCATTTTAACATTAAAACTAAGAATTTCTTGCAAAAAAGCAATTAAAGAAAAGAAAGAAAGAATAAAGCATTTTAACATTAATGCTAGCAAGTAAGGTACAAACCAGAGTGACTTGAACTGAAAGATAAACATTGGTTAAAGCATCTTAAAAGTTCACTCCTCTCTTTGGTTAAAGCATTGTTCTTTGCTTATTTGCAAGGTTTAACGGTTTAAAAAACCCTTAGTAAAAAAATAAAAATATCTATTTAATTTATTTACTCCATTTTTTTGAAGGTTTTATACCAAAAAAAACAATTGATATTAAGTTTTTTTAAAAAAATTTATATATAAAAAATAATTACAACAACAACAACAAAACCCTATTCCCATATGCAATGGGGGTTAGGGGGAGGTAGGGTAGTAGGCTGCCCCCAACACCAGGTTGAGAGCAGCTTCCGTGGAAGACCTCCGACATTTAGAAAATTAAAAATAAAGATGAAATGCAATGCAATGCATGTATAAATAAATAAATACATAGTTAAACAGTTCTCATATGCAGTCTTCATATGCGCTTCTCCCGAATAGGTGGTTAATTTATTTTTCGACTTATCCAAGTGTCTAACATTACAAACGTTGCCACTTTAGGTGTCTCGGTTCTAAAAGCCGTTAAAAAAGCTCGTTAAGTGACAATTGTCACAATCTAGTAATTTAAAAAATATTAAAAATATTAAAAATATTTAATTTCTGAAAAAGCCTCAAATTTTTCCTAAAATAGCAAAAAAAAACTCAAACTCTTAAAATTTTTTATTTTAGTCCCATTTACTCCAACCAGCAGGGGGATCGCACGCTGGTTGTTTTTTTTTTAATTTTTAACAATATTTTTATTTTTTAAGAAAAATAAAATTTTAAAATTGTAATATGTGTCACTTAATGGGGTTTTAGAACGGCCGTTATAGTCGACGGGCCTAAAATAGTAGCATTTATAAAGTTAAACATCTGGATGTATCGAAAAATAGTCTAGGCACCTATTCTTGAAAAGCATTATAGTTTAAACACTTATTTTCGTATTAAGACTTTTTTTGAAATATAATTAGAGATTTAAGAAGTTAAAAAATTAAAATTTTAAAATAAAAATGTTTGTTTTAAAATAAATTACGAGATTGTAACGTATAAGTGAAAGAATATTTTTTGAGTTAATTGCATCACATATACTCAAAGGATCATATTTTAAACTCATCCCTAAAATTTTAAATGTTCTAATTTTATCACTAAACTATGATTATCGTTCTAAATTAGTCCTCAAACTTAATTTAGAAGGAGAATAATAGATGAAATTAGAACGTTCAAAAGTGTAAGGACTAATTTAGAATGAGAGTCATAGTTTAGGGATGAAATTGGAATATTTTAAAGTTTAAGGATCAATTTAAAATGAAAGTTATAGTTTTGGAGACACATAATACAATTAACTCTTTTTTGATGGGATGTAAGTGATTAGTTATAAGATTTGATATGTGGTTAATAAGTCTCACCAAATTTCATAACAAGTAAGGACTATAAGAAAAGGAAAATTGAAAGGTTGGTATGCTAAATTACTTGAAGAATATTTTCTTTGTTAAAGTCATGTGCTTTACTAATAACTCTAAAATTGAGTTAAAATTTAAGAACACATAAATTACGATATTGTAACGTATAAGTGAAAAAATATTTTTTGAGTTAATTGCATCACATATACTCAAAGGATCATATTTTAAACTCATCCCTAAAATTTTAAATGTTCTAATTTTATCACTAAACTATGATTATCGTTCTAAATTAGTCCTCAAACTTAATTTAGAAAATTAGAACGTTCGAAAGTGTAAGGACTAATTTAGAATGAGAGTCATAGTTTAGGGATGAAATTGGAATATTTTAAAGTTTAAGGTTCAATTTAAAATGAAAGTTATAGTTTTGGAGACACATAATACAGTTAACTCTTTTTTGATGGGATGTAAGTGATTAGTTATAAGATTTGATATGTGGTTAATAAGTCTCACCAAATTTCATAACAAGTAAGGACTATAAGAAAAGGAAAATTGAAAGGTTGGTATGCTAAATTACTTGAAGAATATTTTCTTTGTTAAAGTCATGTGCTTTACTTAATTGTAAGGGTAAGGTAATCTCTTTAGCTTTTGCTTTTGTTTTTGCTATGACCGAAGATCTTTAAATAACCATTCTCTTTTTTTTCCCTTCAAAATATATAAAACATATTTTAATAAATAAATAATTATTATAAATATTTGAGGAGCGTCTGATGAGGAAAAAAAGGGTTTAAAAACTCTATAATAAAAAATAAAAGAATATCTTTCGAGTCTCTTGATTTTGTAGGTTATATATATCACATATGAAAAATACGAAGGAATATATATATATATATATATATATATATATATATATAAATGTATCACATATCATATATGGTTATTTAAAGCCGTTTAAATTTAAATCAATTAGTATCATAACAATATAAATATTTATAATTAAATTTAAATAAAAAATCGAATAACTTGACTCGACTCGAATTTTATAAACTAGATTTGACTCGGAAAAAATATTCAAATAAAGTTTGAATCACAAAATAAGATTTGTCAACTCGACTAACTTAAATATATATTGACTCGACTCGATTGCACTCAATCGAATATTCACCTTTAGTAATGTTTTGAATAAGGGAATATTTTCGACAACATCCGATATTCCATGATCTGTATTATGTATTATCATGTGTCGTAATCGTGTAGTTTTTAGCACGTTGAATGAAAGAATTTTTTGGCACGACAAAGATAAGTTTATAAATATAAGCAATATCGACACCAGAGGCGGACCCAAGAGCCTTCGTCAGGGGTTGCAAGAGCCCCAGGGGTGACTTTTGAGGGGTGACACTTGTGGAAGGGTTGCTTGGGATACCCCGGGCACTATGGAGGTTCACCCCTGGATGAGGGGTTGCCCGGGATACCCCGGGCTCCATGGAGGTCCGCCCCTGATCGACACAAAGGTCAAAACATTAACACGTTGAATAAAAGATTATATATGTTTAAATTCGCCCGTTAATATAAAATTCCGCATCTGTCACTTATAGTAAATAAGATTTTGTCACCATTACCCTCATGAACCCCATTTGGATCAAGAACTTCCACAGACTTTCATTCCATACAATGCTTTGGAAAGCCTGTTCACATAACGCGAACATTTCAAGTTAATGAGGACTTGTTTATTCGTTATCGTATTAATTTTCGACTCGCACTAGGCACAAACCCATTAGAGAGAAGACTAGTATCAGAAATGCTTACATAAAAGTAACCCGATCAAAAATACAATCGCAACTATAATTTAAATCGCTGATTAAAACTACACGATTATTTCCTTATACGTTGCCATAATAATTGGCAATTACTCCATCCCCACTGGGCAGAAGCCAAAGATCCCCAAGTGACATTGTGGGTAGAATTGATAGTATTGGGTAGAGGAAACAAAACTTGGCGCTGGATTTTCACGATAGTCGGCGAGATCATACATCTAAAAGTGTAATATTGGAAACGTTAGATATCTATTTTTAACGAAAAATTTTTTAGACGCCAAAAGTCAATATAGGTTATAGTTTAGACATTTATTTTTGTATTAATCCTAAAGTAAAAAATAAGTACTCAAACTATGCATTCTTTTTGCTTAAGTACTTAAACTATTTTTTTGTCAAACTAGGTCTTTAAACTATTATATTTAATCATTTAAAGTCCTATTATTTTCAAAAAAATATTTTTCGACCAATAAAATGTTGATACTTCACATTAAATTAAATATTTATTAAATATTTATTAGAAAATGTTAAA